ATCGTATCTGTTGCCTATTATGTCTTTCCATTTTTGTGTAGCATCACTACAAAGACTCTATTCCCACTGACTTCAATGCTTTAGCCATTTGGCCTGAATGTGTTTTGTGTGCTGTTATCTGTAGTGCTACATGGTTCACCGAATAGGAAATCTACTTGCTATTATGAATGTATATGTGCAATCTGAAATTTATTTATGTGACTTTGTGTGTCTGTGTGTTTGATGGAGAGAGAGAGTGAGAGCGGGAGGGAGAAGGAGAGGGATTTATAGCCCTGTTTTTCTATGCACGTAATGGTATGAATCTCAGTGTGCGTGCATGGGTGTGTGGGTGAGTGTGTGTGTGTGTGTGTGTGTGTGTGTGTGTGTGTGTGTGTGTGTGAATGAATGTAGATGAGACAGAAAAAGCTGCATTATGCATAGCGGTTCACCATAGGCAATATCCATGCTCCTCCAGCATACATATTCATACTCCATTTTCATATCCATTGCAAAAATAGGGGGAAAAAGTGCAAATGTATTTGAGTGCATCTCAAAGAAAGATTTGAGTAAAAAGAACAACAGAAAAGAAACGCAGGCTGAAAGAAAAGTGAGGGTTTAGAAAAGAAGAGGAAAAATGGAAAAAGGATTCAACCTGACAGGAAAGATGTTTGTGAGCATTTCACCCAAAATCTCTTTGACCTTCTTCATCCTAATCAATGTATTCGGGCTCAAAGAAGGGAATGAAAATACAGTTCTTGAACGGATGAGTGCTGCTCCTCTGCTCCTTATTTCTCTGCTGGGGAACGGGTGCAAAGGCAGCCTGGGGCTATGAAAGGACTCAGATAAGCATCTGAGGTTAGATGTTGCCCAAATAAAGAGGGAAAACTAGGTTAATGTGCGCCATGTTTTTATATTTTGCTTTATATGAAATATTTACAGTTTATGGTGATATTTGACTGATAGCATTGTTTGTTTTAGTTCCCCTGTGGTCGTCGGTACATTTTATTCAAATTTCTTGAAAGGTCTGGGTTGTTTATGGCCGCAGTCACACATGTTAATGCAGCTTACTACATTTTCAGATAATTATAATTTATTTGATTTTTTTTCTCATCATACATTTCAACTGTCAGATATCCTGAAGAGTTCAAAGCTCAAGAGAAGCAGGAAACTATGAACTTCAAAAAGTTTTTGCTTTGCGTCTGTGTCATATCACATATCACGGACAGCTGTGAACCCCCAAGTGACCAAACTCTGAACCACGACCGCTACATGATGGTGTCTTTTGCTACAGGCCGCAATCCATGTGCATGGCGTGGACTGGAGTTTGCTTCTGTGTGGCTGTATACAAACATCTTTGCGTGCATGAGTGTGCATGTGTGTGTGTGAACTCAGTGACCTGAATTTGTTCTGTAGGACAAAGCGATTAGCCATCGCATCATAAGCTGCTGCAGCTTTTTAGAGGGCCTAGTTTTCCCCTGCAGGATCGACCCCCTCTGAGTTTGAGCTTCTGCACCTGAGCTGTTTTGAATTTTTAGTTTGAGGCCATTTTTGATTACGTCACAATAACAATTTTAAGTTTGTTTATTTCACAGCAAATGACTCAGGTGCAGAGTGAAAACAGTGGTTCCCAACCTGGCAGTCAGGAATCTAATGTAAGACATTCGAAAAGCAGAAAATATATATTAATGGTAGAAAATCATGTTTATTTATTTAGATTTTCTTGTTATCCCATTGTGAATGTCTGGAAAATGTGATAAATATTAATATAATTCATTCATTAATAGGACACAAGCAGAGAGGCTGGGCATTTCTAGTCATACGGGTGAACTTCTGCACATAAGTCAGATTACAAACTTGGAGGATGCAGTTTTTAAAGAACTATGACATGCTGACTGCATGTCTCCGCACTGATCTGAGTCTAGTGTGACACCGGTTTTTGGATTAAAACCTGTGAGCAGAAAAGTTTGAATAAAAAGTGAAAGGGAGCCAATAAGTGGCTTGCACATCCATCTGCTGCCACTCCAAACTGTAGCAGTAGGAATGCAAACTTGACTAAACCTACTACGATGTCTTCCAGGATCACTTGTTCTTGTTTGCATTCACACAAGTAGCCACAGATCCAGTGTGACCACTGTTTTCTCTGTGATGAAACACATCAAACACTTCCACCAAGAAACCTCATACATCAAATGTGTAAAACTAAAGGGTGCTTGAGCCTGTGCAAACATGTTCACTTGTCTGAAGCCCAGCATTATTTTGTGTTGACATCAGAATCAGAAATAATTGATTGATCCTGGAGGAAGTTGGGTTTCGTTAGTCGATCCATCCAAGAACAGAACCATGTACAGATAAAGACTTTAAAGGTCCAGTGTGTAAGATTTAGGCCAAATTAATGGCAGAAATTTAAGGTAGAATAATCCTCATGATGTTTTCACTAGTTCGTTTCATCTAAATTGTATGAATTGTAGTTTTCTTTACCCCAGAAACTCCCCTTTATATTAAAATACTTTATATTTTCATTGAGGGGGTCCGCTCTACGGGAGCCGCCATGTTTTTTACATTAGTCCAGACTGAACAAACTAAACACCTTTTGAGTTTTATGACAACTGAAGGCTACCACAGGTTCTTTTTTATGTTTGGAAGGAGAGAGTGAGGTGAGGGGTGTTCAGCTGCAACATGCAAATTAAACACTAGATATCACAAAATTCTACACACTGTACCTTTAACATAACAAATAAGACATGATCTTATTGACATGATGATAATCTGATCACAGATTCTTAAAAAATTATAATATAAGTGAAGGCCTACACAGCAACAAAATGTTCTTTTTAAGTGGAAATATTATTTAAATAACAGCATTTATCATCAGACAGAAGCAGGTCACTGTCATCACATTATAGTTTCCTTTTTATTTTCTCAATATGGAAACACTGCTTGTGTGTGTGCTTGTGTGTGTGTGTGCATGTGTGCGTGTGTGGGGCGCTCTCCTCGGTGCTCAAAATGCAGATCAGTCGGCCTCGCAGCCTGTGAGTGAGATTGACATGGATTCGGATGGTAGGATGGATTGAACTTGACCTGAATTTGGATGTTTGAACACTGAGGATCTGCTCCAGTTTTAGCTGGTAGGCAGGAGAACAATGACTCTTTTCTTCCTCAGCATCTCTGCCGTTCTCGTACACATGTACTTACAGTCTGCATGTGAGCCCAAACAGCGATCACAACGCTTTTCCCACACACCTCGGCCTCCGGTGTTGGCTTTGTTTGACATCCAGAACAGAGGCACTCATTTAACGTTAACACCTCTACTCCTTTGACCTGACCACACATGGAGACCCGCGGGCAAACCCAGTGCATCCAAACCCCTTTGCTCCAGAGCACCCCTACCCCAACCAGCCACCCATATCCTGTAGTATTGCGCTGCTGCCTGTCTCCCTGATCTCTCCCTTCGCTTTACACCCACACACGGATGAGAACATGCAGGGAAGTCGGACACTGGCCTCCCACGGCAGTGCGATTCCAAGGTGGATAGACGGTGTGTGTTAAATGTGAGAGGAGATTATGTGGGTTTAACTCTCTACGTCTGGCATACAAATTCCAATCACATTACATTGACTGTCTCTATGTGTGGCAGGAAAAGTGGATTCTGGGAAAATAGGGAGATAGAGGAATGCAAATATATGAGTGGAAATCAACTTATGTCAGTATGCCACTATGTCACTATTTACACTGGACAGAACAGATTCAAAACACAATCAACTGTTTATGTCTCCCTGCCACACAGCAGGGAGACATAAACAGTTTCAGAGTTTAAAAAGACAGCCAATGGGATTGTGTGTTTCATTTTCCAGCTGCCTATAATTGACACCCATTCATGTAGAGGATCTGCAGAAATTAGAGCCTAAATGATGTCTGATAGTGTCTTTATATCTCCATTGATGTGTCTTAGCCAACACCCTATTTCCTTCCCAGCGAAGAGAGAATTAAAGCGATAGAGCTAATCCAGGCATTGTTGACACAATCCAGGAAAAGGGATTAATTAAGTATCATTGTCTGAGAAGAAAATTCTCTGGCTTGGGGCACAGTGTCTTCCCCTGGCCTCCAGCCAAGCTGAGCTCAGCACTTCTTTGCACCCCTGCCCCCTCCTTACCCCCCATCCCCACCTCTCTCTCTCTCCCTCTCTCTCTCTCACACACACACACACACACACACACACACACACACACACACAAACACACATACACACAGAAACACACACATCTTAAATATGCCTCGAAACCCTAATCGGAGAGGGAGCTTTCTTTGAGAGAGAGGATATGTGCTGGCCTTCAGTGGGCCTGAGACATGCAGCAGTTTACCATCACTTTATCTTTCTGCATGACGAAGGAAACCAACAAAAAAAATGAAGTTGGTGTTGGTGGGGTCAACAGTTGGGACACATTTTCCCACCTGTTAAGAGGCTGATTTTCTCAAAGATCTTCCTGGATGCATTACAACAGATATAGGATATAGGATAATGCATATGGGATGAGAAGTGTTAGATTGGCTTTTATACAATGGTCAACTTAAATCCAGCATTACTTAGTGTAGTCACAATAACGATGAGCATTTCAGTTTTCACGATGCTTTGTGATTGAGCACATGCTCTCTTCTCATACCTGCTTGACATGAATATGCAACTTAACCAACTCTGTCTCCCATTCTCTCATCCCAACAGTCAACAGTGAGGATGTTGTCTCTACACGGCTGTACTTTGTGAACGCCTCCCTGCAGCGGGTGACCTTCTCCAGCTCGGTGGGGGTGTCCCTGCCCTGCCCTGCGGGCGGCGCCCCCCATGCCGTCCTGCGCTGGTACCTGGCCGCCGGAGACGACATTTACGATGTGCCCCATATCCGCCACGTGCATGCCAACGGCACCCTCCAGCTCTACCCCTTCTCTCCCTCCGCCTATAACAGCATTATCCACGACAACGAGTACTTCTGCACTGCTGAGAACCAGGCAGGAAAGATCCGAAGCCCCAGCATCCACATCAAAGCAGGTGAGGGCTGGACACTTTGTAAACTAAGACAACGGTCAAAGGGTTATTGAGTCTCCAGGAGACTTAACTGACTTTATTCTTTTAACTTAGCATTTCAACACTTGCCTTTTAGGTGTCTACTTGCTTTTTGAAGTTACTTTGAATACCTGCATATGTCTGACTACCAGTAAATTTCCAACACTGTAAACAGCGTCTGCAATTTTTAATCTGTATATTATAACAATACAGCACCCAAATTACATTTATTCTATTCATATTATTATTCTTCATATAAAGTGTGCATAAATGTAGTTTTACCAACTCAGAAAGCATCATGTGTGATTACCTAAAATTGTGTCACCACAAAGAGAGTGGTGAGTGAGTGCCTTTTCTGGATTCCACATATTTTGCTGCAAAGGTATTCATAATCATTCATAGACTTGTAGAGTCTCTAAAGTGGCAATTTAGCATTGGACCTTTTATCCAGACTGGGGTCTCACAAGAGGTAGATTAAAATAAAAGATTAAAAATAATGGCCAAAATCAGAGCATCTGAGGCTGGGATATCCTGACTTTTTCCCCTGGAAGGATTAAGGCCTAAAAAAACACTTGGATCCTACAGCAACTCACTCCAGGAGAAAAGCTCAGATCTTTTGAAAATCCATGTTTCCAGTTTATAGAAAGACGAAAGCAAGACTTTTTTAACCCTGATGACATCAGTTGTGTAACATTTTCAGATTTATTGTAACTTATTCTGGAGCCACACATTAGATAAAACTTTATTTTTAAGTAAAGTACATGACAGGCCAATGGCAGGTTGTGTAGTTCTTCTTGAGACAAGTAAACTGATCTTAATGTGTACAGTTGGTGCTAGCAAAAAGGTTAAACCTAAAATAATCACTTCCAGGTCATTCCTAAATATTTCACTCCACTATGTGTGTATAATATATATACTCTATATACTATATAACAGTATTACCTGGCTATGGCCCAGCATGTGTAAATATGGAAGATATGGTGACCCAAACAACAGTCATATTGGCGCACTACAACATCAACTTCTCTCAGTGGGGGGTGAAGCGTCTCGGAGCGCCACGTCTCGACCCTGCAGATTAAAAATCCTCTGGAAGACATGGCCACGTAGACAGTTGGCATGGTGACCTGTCCACACTCACTGCCAAGGTCAAAGCTGGAGAGAGGCGCTGAACACACGGAGGGAAGGTGTTACTGCTCTCACATACACACAGACACACACACATCATAAACACAAGCACATGACCTAATGTGATACACACCGGGTACACGTGTATACAACAGACACGCACGCATGTATGTTCACACTGTTCACATGCATATGCGTGCACACAAACTGACTCAGATGCGCACGCACGCACACACACA